AGATCCTCGTCGGCGTCGAGCTCCTCCTCAAGAACGCCCAAGACTGGGCAGGCAATTGCGTCGCGGGATGTCGCGATCACGGACGAGATTGCGTCGCTGAGCGGACTCGTCGTGCGCTGGCGCAAGCTCGAGCTCTACTCGTGGCCGCAGCTCATGCTCATCAAGGAGCGCAAGTTCCAGCTCGAGGCGCGCAAGGCGTGGTTCCATCTGTACACGCTGTTGACGTCGCCGCCGAGCGGCGACGAGACGGTCGTGCCCGAAGTTGCGACGCTCGACTGGATGTTCACGCTGACGTCGATGCCCGACACGGAGGTCTTGGCCAAGGGCTGGCGCTTTCAGCTCTTTGATACGATGGACGCGTTCCTGCGGACGTGCACGGTGGGCCAGTTCCAGACGCGACTCGTGCTCCTCTATGCGTTCTGCGGGCAGCTCTTCCTCGAAGTGCAGCACGCGCCCAAGCTCGAGACGCTCCGGCTGGCGTCGACTCTGTACCACCTGTATCGGTTTTACGCGCAGCATCTGACGTACGGGTGCCACCCGCTCTGGTCGCGCCTCCGGACGCCGATCCAGACGCAGCTCAACGACTTTATCAAGATCTCGCGCTGGGACGAGCAGACGTACTACTCGCTCGCGGCGTCGGCCGAGAAGAGCCACCGCAAGCTCATGAAGTTTGTCCGCGACTACGAGGAGATTCTCAACATGCCGATGCAGACGTTCATCGACAAGGTCGTTGACGGCAACATCACCAACGAAAAGTACGACGGTATCCAAGCGCTCCAGACGACGTGGAACGATCTCAAGGCGCGGGACGACCCCGTCGAGCTCGTCAAGGACACGGAGAAGGACGATGACGCCAATGACGCGCCGATGGACGACAAGGATGACGACGACGAAGGCGATGCGCCCAAGGAGGTGTGGCGTGTCGTCGCGATGCCGACCAAGACCAAGGAAGCGCCGGTCGTGCTTCCGGAAGCGTGGACGGCGGCGGTCGACAGCTACCGCTGGGTCGCGCAGCTGCCGACGCTGACGCGCAAGATTCAAAAGTACACGGCGACCGAGCTCCTCACGGACGCGGCGCTGCGCCGCAACCAGGCCGGCCGCCACGTTGGCGAGGACCTCTGCGAGACGATCATTTACCGCATCGAGAAGCTCAAGTCGGACTCGGCGCCCAAGGGTGCCAAGAAGAAGGCACTGGTCGACCTCCTCGCCGAGATCAAGTCGCAAGGCTTCTCGCATCTCAAGACCAAGACGCCGCCGCAGCAGCAGCACATGCAGTCGCTGCTCGAGCTCGACGTCCCGTTCGTCGACACGGTGCTTCGGTTGCACCCGGAGGTCGTGGCCACGGCGCCGTCGGGCGTCAATGGTCTCTGGGCGCACGCCGACAGCTACTACTACCGGTTCCTCTCGCAGATCCAGTCGATGCGCTTCACGGTCGCGTCCGGCTACAACAAGGACATTTCGTGGTCCGAAGTCGACCGTATGTCTGGGTACGCCGAGAACATGCTGCACACGATGCTTCAGCAGCGCGCGCTGCTTGCGCAGATGGCGTCGACGCACGAAGGTCTTCTCTTTGGCCTCTCGCAACTGCAGTCGCTTCCGTCGTCGCACGACCTCGTCCACGCGCAGACGTTTTTGGCGTCGTGGCGTGATGCGCAGACGGCGACGCTGCTCCAGCTCACAAAGTGGGTCGATGAGCTGCTGCTGCTGTTTGCGGACGACCCGGTGTTGGGCCAGCTCCTCACGGCGCTGCAGCAGTGCGGCGCGCAGGTCGCCAAGGCGTCGGTGGCCGCGCACTCTGGTATTCCCGAAGTCCCATCCGACGACGGCAACTTTGACGCGGCGACGAGCTTTGGCTTCCAAGACAAGACGCCGTCGACGACGACCGGCTTTTCGCCGCATTGGCTCGAGCAGCCGGGCGCGTTGTGGCTCGACCCGGCGCCGCTTGTGGCGTCGGCGGCGGGCGCCGAGGCCGTGGTTGCGCAGCTTGCCGCGTTCTGCAGCGCCAAGTCGGTCGTGAGCATTCGCGACGCGCTCTCGTCGCTGGCTACCGAGCAGGCGCAGTGGGCGGCGGACGCGGCCTTGCACCGTGCCCCGACGACGACCACCTCGCTCGACCTCGTGGAGGCTGTCGGCGACCGCTTCAACACGGTCGTTGAGAGCATCTTGCTCTCGATCCAGCAGGCGTGCAGTCTCTTTGAGAACAAGAGAGACGACGACAACCTCGAGTCGATGGTGGTGTGCCACCAGCACCTCGCCAAGGTCGTGGGGCAGAGCCAAGTGCACAAGATCCCGGCGCAGCTGTTGTCGCTCCTGTCGCACCTGCATGCGTCGTCGTCGGCGGACGTTGCGCCGTGCTTGCGCTGGGTGCAGTCGCTCGTACCGGCGCTCAGCGCCCTCGTCCAGTGGCACTTCCAGCTCCTCTCGGACGTCATCTACGTGCACAAGAGCATGTCCAAGGCCGAGTTTGTCATGGTTCGCGTCTTCCGCACGCTGCTTTCGAACGGTTTTTGCAAGGCGCCGGAGGAGAAGGAAGATGACTCGACGGGCGGCCAGTTCAACTTTGAAGACGACGTGGAAGGCACGGGCATGGGCGAAGGCGACGGCAAGAAGGACGTGTCAGACCAGATTGAGGACGAGGAGCAACTGCTCGGCCTCAAGGCGACGAGCCGCCGCCCGAGAACCAAGAGAAGAAGGACAAGGAGAAGGACGACTCAGGTCTCGAGATGAACAACGACTTTGACGGACAGCTCGAGGACCTGGACGACGACGACCAGAAAGACGACGACAAAGACGACGACGACGACCAAGAGGAGCTCGACCGCGAAATGGGCGACTTTGACGAAGACAATATCGTCGACGAGAAGCGATGGGGC